TTGGCAGATACTCCAGTCCTGGATGAAGACATCAGTGCTGAGCTGAACCAGCCAGTTAAGAATTCCCAGTTCTGTTAATTAAAGCTCTGTTATAGACAGAAGCCCCTGAGCTGGCACCACAGACGGTTACATGCCCTGCAGAGCTAATTGTGGAGAAATGTCTGTCTCAGGCATCGGTGTTTCTGCACCCGCAGATCGTGCCGACCGTGAAAAAAAAAAAAATTACAAACACAGCCTGGTAAAGAAATTCCCCATGCTCTCTTGTACAGCACGAAGCAGTTTCCACACGTCTGTGCCACCCTTTCCAATTAAGAAGTGCAAAGGCCAAGTTGTCAAATACGATTCTAAAGTAAAGTCAGGGTATGTAGATGCTGAGGAAAAAATGTGAACACAAGTAGTTTTATTCTTTTCATTAGAGGACCATAACTACTACTTTTGATCCAAGTTTATAACTTTATTGACTCATTAATCTTTGTTAAACAAATGGCAGATGCTTAATTAGACCAAGACTTTAGCTACTCTCTAAGATGGCATACTTTGTAAGTTACAAAGAGTTTGAATGTAAAATTTCAGCTTGTTTGGTCTAACTCTAGGTGTGATAGACATATTTTAGTTTGGGTAAAAAAAACTACTTCAATATATAATTCAAAGTATGGTATCTGAGGAAAAAAAAACACTGTCTTAAGAATGGTACATGACCCAATGGTTTCCGTCACATACTCTAAAGCTAACCAATCGTCCCCAAACTGGAAAAAGTGAAAACCAGTGATTTTAAGTGTAGAGTACCAACACATAAAAGGTGCTTTGCTACAGTTACAAATGATACTATATATGCTTCACCTCAATAAAAGTAGTTAAATAATCATGGATTTGTAGGCAGGTCTAAATACAGTGTCAACATTTAAAAAATATATCTGCATACTTACAAAAGACCTGGCCACTGATGTTTTGATGAGCTGAGGCAGTGGAGGTGAGATTATACCTGAAGCTTTGTTTGAATTTAAGATAAGTTGTCATGGAGACTTATCCTGCTGTAATTACACCATAAAAAGCTCAGAGCCTGCTAGCATAACACCATTGCATGACTGAGCCTCTGCTGAGCCCACACTGTTAGACCCCACGTGGGCCAAGTCTGCTCTGATTGGTCTGCCGATCCACTCTGTCGTTATTCGTCAGTTGCTCAGCACTCGGAAATTTCAACATGAGCTGCAGGGCTTGCCACAACAGCCAACGGCTTAGATCAGTGATCTCACACTGACAATGACGTTGGACTGACAAGTTTTTATCGAGGGGGCTAGAACCGAGCGTTACATGCAGCTTATGCTACAGCTAACAGGAGACGTAGGAGAAGCCGCGTTTCCGCGGACTTTGAATTTTTGCACATAGATGTGCTAAACATGCACAGGACACTTGGAAAACACACTAAAGAGCATATAAAACCAGAAAAGCATAATATGGACCTTTAATCCCCAAACTGAAAACAGAAAAGAGCAAGCTCAGTTCAAGGTTGAGATCCATGTGGATGGAATTGAAAACCTTGTTTTGTATATATTTGAGAAGTCAAATTTCCCAGATGGGTTTAAAGAAAAATCCAGTAATTAATATTGCTGGAACAATCATAAGCGCGTGTGTACTTGTGCCATAACTGAATTGATTTTTGGCCATTTTCTTTGTTTGGTTTTTAGATAGTTACAGAGCGACATGACTTTATCATAAAGCAATGGAATTTGTCAATTTTTCCATGAAAGTTCAATGTGGTGGAAAGAAGAGCATCAGTCAAAATCATTTTTACACATTTTCTTCATTTTATGTCTTTGTTGTTGCAAATCCTTTTGTAATGAGGACTGTCGGTCATATATTTAGTTTAAAAAAAGGTTCGTACAATGCTGCATGTAATCCCTTGAACAATTTCTTCACAAAATTCCATTTTAAAATCTTTGCCAAAAGATATTAATTACATCCATGTGTTCTGTATTAAGTTAAAGGTGTGAGATGTTTCTTTTAATGTTCAGTAAAAGTTACTGTCTCAACCAACATTTTGGGCACAAAAAAATCAATCCTTTTCCAGTATGCTTGACCTGAAAAAAGAATCCTCATCCTCACCCAGCTGCATTCACTCTGTGCATGTGTGCAGGGTTCATACTCACGACCAGAGGGAGCTCCTGCCTTGAGTGACGACCCCTGTGAACTTTGTCAGCCTCCTGGCATCCACCTCAAACCACTGCAGTGGGTCATCTCTCCCAGCGCACCAGGCCCCGTCATAGAGGTCGTCTTCATAAAGGCCAGCCTGCAGGCCACCAAACAGTCTTATGGAGCAGCATTTTTACTCTTGATGTCTAAGTAGAAACACTAACAAACAGTCCATGTTCGGTGCAAAACACTCATATCAGCTTTTTGTTAAAGCTTAAATACTGTTAGATGTTGACAGAGGAGAAGAAGAGGCTCAGAAGTTTCCATTTAATCCTCTGAAAATCTAAGTTTGCACTCTTATAAATATAAAAAATATGTATGTCAGCATTTGTTCATTCAACAGCTGAAAATGTATAATCATAGTACATTAACTCTACACCGCATTAAACCTGTGGCAGCTGGCTCTGTTAGTTTGAAGCTAATCTGTGTGAACTGTCATATGCTGAGAGGACACACTGTACATCTTTTTCATCCAAACGTAAACATTACAGTATGATGACACACTGCACTGTACATACTGATTAAACAGTCACTCTGATATGTGTATCTTTAGAGTGTATTTGAAGGACAACACATGTGCTTGACATTGACCGGCTCATTATCTAGAGATCTAAAACCACATTAACATAATCTCACTTCAAAGATAAATTAAAGGCACATTATGTAAATAAGGATGGACTTGGGGTGAAATCATTGTAGAGTTTCTGTACATCCATTAGAGGCACAAAATGATGTACGACTGAGTGTGTACTACTTTATTTAATTCAAAACCATAGTGTGTTTCTTAAAGCACACAGTTGGATTCTTTTGGTGCAGAATGGGGCTTTCAGAAAGGCAATAAATGAATGTAAATTAATCAACTATGCTATAGCCTGTATATAAAAATGGATGACACAACAGCTCCTCAAAAGTGAAGCCAAAACATTTGGAGCACTCCCCTACTGAACACAGTATAAGTCATTAACTTTGCCTCGTCCATGTTAACAGATCGGACATGGGTCAAACTATAAAAATCATCTAAATGATACAGTCAATGCTTCCAACCATAAGAAATTGCCACTAATGACGTACTCCTTGAGCTATGAATGCAAAACAAAAAAAAAAATGTTTGTGAGATGTAGAACAACAACAACTTCTGCCAAGGAGGGTCTGTTCTATGTCTGCTTTGATTGTCAGTACGTAGAAGATCTCAAAAACATGTTTTCAGATTCCAATGAAATATGAGGACGCTTTGGCCACGGAACAAGAGATTACTTTTTGGTGCCAATCAGCATCCAGGTGCAGATGAAGCACCTTTAATGAATTGCTCAGTGAATGAAAGAAAATTGGCACTCAAGACTCATAATTGAATACATGTGTTTTGCTGCAGGACAGGAATATGTTTTATAATTTTGTACATTCTGTTGCATTTTTACAATGAGGGGATGTGACCTTCATTAATCCCTGTTTTCTTTCAACTCTTATGATCAAAAGAAAGAGAAAATTATCACAGAACAGTTGGTGTCTGGAAACTAAACAAACTGTAGCAGCTACAAAAGTGGAAATTAACCAAGCTGACTGGGCAACACGCCTGATACAACAGGCAACATCTGTTTTCTATGTGTCTCTACTGATATACAGATAATTGTTCTCCAGATTGGACGTTATCTTTTTTCCCCCTCTATGATCCCTGACAGACACTCGCACACACAACAAATCCTTTGTTTTGCTTGTTTCCTGTAACATAATACCTCGCCGTCTTGAGAGAATTAAGAGCATGTGTGTGTGTGTGTGTGTGTGTTTCATTAATTGTGCAGTTGGAGTCAGAGCAGTTCACCCTTCAAAAGATGAAGATAAAGCTGTGGACCGTATGCAGGCTAATAACCTCAAAGAACAGCTTGCACTAACAGGAAATAGCTCTTCTAACAGATGCCAATCCTTTTTATTAGGTCTGGGGATGTGCCCCTTGTTTGATGGAGACACTTTTACTTTCTCTAATGTGTTACCTTAAGGGTGTTAAGTTGAAGCCAAGTGGCAATTTTTAGGGTTGAAAAATGAAACCAATGTGAAAGTGAAAACAAAAAATGCAGTTCCTCTATTGTTCACTTTTAGTTGGCAGCAAAAGGCAAAGAATCCCCATAAGGTCCAATATTAAAATGCTTGTTTTCACAGCAGAAATAAACCTGTTTCCAACCTCGTACAAAAGATGGTTTTGGTCTCAATGGCAAATTTCTTTATACATATAAACTGTATGGGGGTGAATTCTCTTCATAGCGTATTCATTTTGATTTCATAAGGAGTTAAGCATACATTTTCATAAAATCTGTTGTAGTTGAGTTGACTGACAGGAGGGCCTTTGTAGCCATTTACCAGGAAACGTAAGGTCGGCTTCAATTAAAGTTCTTTGCCCGTTTCTTTATTGATCAAAAGTTAGTGAGAGATAGCATTTCCAATATGGCGACTGCCATCATTGGGCTTCATATCACATTTTCAGAATACCAATGGGTGACTTCAATGTGACCATATCCATGTTGTCAATGTTTGAATCAGGGAAATCATGTGATCCTTGTTGACTTATCTGGGCAGGCGTCTTTCCATAGACCTTAAATATGTCCTCATATTGATCCTGAAATCAAAAGATGCTATGTTTCCATCAATCTTCTATTGCATTGCTCCTTTTTTGGAAACACATGACTCCAAAGCTTCAAAAGAAAGGTCAGATTGCCCAGGACATAATGCAAGCCCAAACATTTCTGGTAAGTGTTCCCAAGCTACGCCAACACTTTACTTTACATACCTGAATGTTAAGACGACCTCTGTGTGCACCGAGGCCATAGCGTTTCGTGGTTGAAGCGTGAAGCTGGAAGTCATCAATCTTCAAAGTCTCCAGTCCCATGGGAGGGCATTCTAGGGTAAGGAGAATGATGAATTAGCTTGTGATGGTGATGTTATGAATCATGTGTTGTACTGCTTACTGCACAATATGGCTCCCGAGTCAGGGAGCATGCATTTGCTAATAGCTGGACTCAAAAGTAATGAGCACTTCAGACTTTGCACCGTGAGCTCAAACGTGTGAAGCAGTCCAGGCAGCATCTACGTTTTTTTTGTTTGTTACCAAGGCGATCTATAAATCAAACCTAATGAAATCAAAACATTGTGAAATGTCTAAATCAAAGTAGAATGTGGTTGTTATGCTAGCAACCAAATATCACCGATTTGCACCAAAACGAAACAACAATGAAGGAATTTGTTTCTTTGGAAGAGTCTTTTTCACAGCTGATTTCTTCACCTGCTGTTACCGCCTTACACTTTGATCTTGAAAGCAGACAAATGAATTGAAATGAGCGTCAGTGCATGAACAACCCATTTTGTCATATCCTGTCAAACCTGACTTCATAAGGAACTTATATAAATTCAATTAAATCCAACAGCATGCTAGTGGCAGTGATGACTAAACTGTTATGAGTTTCATAATGCATCAAACTTCATAGGTGATTAATGAGTTTACACTGTGAGCGCTTCTGTTTTGTCATTTTGGCACACTTTTCACAGCCATCTAGCTTCGCCCTGAATGTATGATTAAATTATTGAAATGACTAGAACAACATTATCAAAGGGAGAAAAAGAGACATTTCAAAATGCTGTCAAACATATTCAAAGGTATCAATAGATGGCTGTATAATTTCATTCAAATAATAGACAAGATTTTTGAACTGTTAACCAATAATGAAGACTTAATTTGTTTCTTTATGAATCCAAATAGTGTCACGGTAGTTAACCCATGGTTTGTTCACTAGTATCTTTGTTCTCATATTGCAGATAACTTGCATTTAATATATGCATGCCCTCTGAACGCTGATACAATAAAGTGCATTCTAGACTTGAAGATTATGCTGCAAGTCCAACTAACAGATACTGAAAGAGAAAACAATGGAGTAATCAAAGAAAATGATTTGATCCTTGACGACATTCAAGGATTCCTCAAGTTTCCTCAGAACACCAAAAAGTCAATAAAAGTTTTAACCTGAGCTGTAGATGTCCTGATTTTTAGTCTGTGCAGGTAAAGTTTCCAAATATTGGATCCTAGTTTCCCTTCATGCAACCTAATGACATCATTTTTTTAATCCACCCTGCCTTTTAAAGACTCTGTCTTATTTGTTTGTCATGCTAATATTCTGTTCTTGAAGTCTCCAAACCCAAGTGAATTAACTCTGATGACATCACTTTGACCTCATTTGGATGAATCTCTTCTCAGACCGGTTTCTACTAGATACATAGCACTCCCAAAGATGAGTCAAGTGACTGGAAATCTGTGACATATGAAAGTAGTGGAGCTAATGCACAGATGCACAGTTCTGTATGTGTTAATGGGGGGAGCTGTGATGCAGTGAGCAGTGTGTGACCTTGATCTCTTGCTGTGGGCATGTGTTACAGTATGGCTCCATGTTAAGTCATGCAGACATGATGTGATGTGAATCAAACTTATCTAAATGTTTTCTGTGATAGGAGCAGAGTAATTCTGTAAAGAAATATTACAATGTGTTTTTTTCATCTTGCAGTACTAAGTTAACCCTTTTGCTTATTTACCTTTTTAAAAAAAAAAATCTATTATAAAAAGCACTTCTGGGACCTAATAATGGATATACTAATACACTATAAACAGAATCTGCATAATGTGTTCCTATTATATAAAACATTTATAAATACCTACAAATTACCGTTAAGTTGCTTTCTAGATGAAGGTTATGATCAATATTTAATGAAACCTTTTCAAACTGAATTTCTAACTGATATTTGATGATCCTCAGAATGAATTGAATTGAGATTTATACCATGCAGGTTTCCCCCACCGTCCAAACCAGAGGACGAGTTATCTATATGCATAAGTGCCTTTATAGCTCCTCTGCTGTGCTGATGATGGCAATTAACAGCACTCAATATGACTAATCGTCTTGTAATTAACTCCTTGAGCATGCCAGTTATTCAACTACACCCACCGAGGCCACAGAAAGTGTCTGGCAGCCGTGCTCAGGGCGCTCTGCTTTCACTCTGGAAAAACACAGTCTTAAAAAGAGAAAGCTGCACATAACTTTAAAATGTTTGGTTTTTTATTTGCAGCTGAAGGGAGCTCAGACGATTTGAACAAATGCCCATCTTTAAGTGATTGCAGAAAAATGAGAATGTTTTCACCACATAGCAATCTATGCAAGATTGGCTCCTCGTTCACATAAGTGTATCAATAAATAACTGAACGGACCAATCACAGTCCATATGTGTATTCTTCATGCCTTACAGCTTTTTGGGTCAGTTTTAGCTATTTGCAGACTACCTTGCTCACAATGATGGAATTTAGAGCAAGATTTTCCAACTAGGCCTCTGTCTGCAGCATATGCTGCACATGTCCCTGTCTTATAGCCAACTGCCTTCACAACTGAATACCCAGAAAAGAAACAAGCACATGAAATACAGCAAAATTAGCTTTTTAAAGGATATAAACGTGAAGTTTGACATCAAGTTCTGCAGTTCAGTTTATATTTGATCCATAAAGGAAGCTGGCTTCACATTGAATAAGTGTTCCAGCTGCCTTAAATCTCTGGGACGCTGCAGAACGTCAATCACATGCTCCAGGACTTTCTGAAAATCCAGACACTAAGATGATCTCCATCCAATATCCACACATGCATGAGATAATTTATGTTTGGTGCTTAAGGAAAACATAGCTTGAGACCAAATTAAATGCTGCTGTAAACCTGAAGCATAAAATGTAATCTAATGAGCCAGCAGCGAAGCCACAGGTGAGACCGGTGAGAGATGCATGCACAGTAACTCTATACAGAAATAAAACAGGAGTTGAAATACCTATGAAACTTTTTGGAATCAAACACGCACTGTTGGTCTGCAGGCTTTCTGTACGGAGCGATAACAAAACATTAGGGACAACCGGGCCCTTCAAGCACCCCCCAGGATCAAGGGTAGCAGGACAAAAAAACAAGCTGGCTTGCTGTGGTGAAAAGCCCTGAATCATTATCAACATCTGCATGCTACTCATTGCAAAGGGACACACAGGAACACAGCATTTGGCTTCAGCACTTATGTCAAAAAGAAATGAGCACAAAGACAGTCAAGGACTAGCACACAGTTATCTGTGCAACTAACAATACTGCTGAGGTTCAAATTTACTGCTGGGATCAAATTATGCATCACATACATCATCAGCATTCTATATTCATAATGCAAAGATTCAAGCAAAGATCTTGGCCCTTTGGTGAGCACAATGTCCTGTACATCTGAAATATTAAAGCAAGCTCAGGGAACTTTTGCTTAACAGCAGCTTTCCGGAGGCAAAAATGGCAATTGTTCCATTTAGTCATTGATTACTTATTCTGAAGAATTGTTGGTGTTTGCATCATGGTGCTACTTTTTTTTTGTTTGATAGAGGACAATTTTTTTTTGATAACTTATCTACAGCCAAAATCACTTGACTCACTTGATTCCTGATTTCAGCAGTAAATCCTGCTGGTTCATGCTGTTGACATAAACAAACTGTAAATGGGCCGGACACCTGCACAGGGGAGTGTTTACTTCTAGCAGCTACACCTGCATGACACATGGTGAAGTGTGGTGTAAGTCACAGGCACTAAAGATGGTGAGCAGCCCAGTGACTCATCACTGGGCTGGTCAAACAAATTAAAAGCAACTTTGATCATTCTTGGACATGTATACAAGACAATCCCAAAACACAACTGTATTTGTAAAATTCATGAAAAACATGATGCTTCACCTGTTTTCTCTCTAGTTCTCTGTGTGTGTTTGTGTGTGTGTGTGGAGGATCTGCCAACAACACAGCAAGCAGGACTCGCGCTTCTATATAGCTTCAATAAATATCACTGAATTTTTTTTTATCACAGGATCCGTTTTTTCCAATACCTTGAAGCCCTATTTTTCACCATCAACCTTTTCAGTCTTTAAAGCTGTGATAATCTGAACCAAAGCGTCTTTTTTCAACACGGTTCATCTGCGTCTGATGGGAATCATGAATGAGCTGTTGAAACATCTGGTGGATCAAACTTTAAAAGCCATTAAAGTCCATTTAGATGACTTCCTTTTAGTTTTGGTATTTGTGGATGTGGCATGCTCTGAAGTTAATCTAAACCTGGATTAGTTCATTGACATCCTTTTTGGTGTATAAAAAGTGCATGACTTGTAAAGCCTGTAAAGTTTGACCATGTTAAATCAGCAGCTACCAGGCGACGCTGAAACAGAATTTTAAAACAGACTGGTGTTGAGTCACAGTTACAGCCATGAAAACATGATTTTTGGGAGCTTTTAGCCTTCCAGATTTTGACTCTGTGGGCTTCTCTATGCCAGCCGTGTCAGCATGGAGTTCCCATTTTCCAACATGTGAGGTTGTCCAACTTTCTGCTCCTATTCCCATGTGCCAAATTACAAATGACAACCTCTTCGGTCTGTCTAGGTAGGTTCCTTACAACAGCTTTAACATAAACACATAAATCCACAGCTGGAAAACACTCATAACCTCCCGGCGTTATTCAATACAGCTTCTTGTTATGCTAGAAATGTCTTACACTGTGTCAATACGTCAAATAAAGGCTATATCAGCGGTTTAGAGCTGTGCAAATCTGAGGTCAAATAACAAGTGTTCTTCACTGAATCATGCTTTCAGTGGAGCGAGTTTAATCTGTCATCAACATGACAGGAAGGCTACAGGGGCATCCTAGCTTAGTTTAGCAGATACTCGGTGATCCATGGAAACAAAACAAAATGCTTTGTGGGTAAAGATGACATTCCTGCCCATGTGGCTCGACTCCACTTCTGAGAACATGTTTGTTTTTGCCAGACCTTTTCTCTCAGGGCAAATATACTGCCTCAAAAGTCTTCTGCTTTCCAAAATATATGTCATCTTTGAGAGAGTTTAGTCCTTTTGTCCCCCTCCCGGGAAAGAAGAGAAATGATCCCTGCGCACTGAAGGAAGGATGAATTTTCATGAGATCATGAATTTCCCGTAACAAGTGAGAGAGCGGCACTGGCTGTTCACTCACCCTCTTTTATCGGGTTGAATCGTCCTTCTGCTTCTGGGATGCTGTTTGAGGTTTTCAGGGTGCTCTTCTTGGTCTTCTCAGTCTTTTTGTTGGCGGTTTTCACTGAGGGAAAAAAAAAACTCATGATTATGAAACAGATATGAATCTTTTATTGACTTTTAAAAGGGGCTTTGGCAGGTCAAATCACATTTAAAGCTACTGATTCTTTGTTGTCAACATATGGAGGGAAAATCGATGGAGTTGACAGACAAAAAAAAGACGCTTTGGCTGGAATCAGTTTTGCACATGTGCATAGATTCAAGGCTGGGGACTCAACCAAGAGACAATCTCTGCACACAATACTTTGGATTTTTTTTTTTTGACTCTTGTAATCCTTGCACTTTATTACAACATTTCTCACAGACCCAGACGATCAATTTGCACCACTTTTCTTTAATACAGCGACAGAATCTCAAGGTTCAGAAATACTCTGTACAAGAGGCATGATGGGGGCAGAGGGGTCACATTGCAGCAACTGAAGATGGAAGTGGAGTGTGTGCTTTTTATTTGACAGAGTGTCAGGTTAGAAAAGGCCACATGTGATAACAATCCTTCTTACATCTGAGAGTCTTTATCCTTGTCTCATGGCTCCATACAGTAAGTGGTTCAGCAAACGGACACAAAGAGATATAACGGAAGACCATTCAGACGTTGGTAAGGTTTGAGCTTAGCTGAAGGCAATGTCAGGTTAATTAAAAAAGTTATGGCATAATAATCACAAGCAAATCAATTTGACTTCAATAAAACATCTTTAAGGAGTAAAAACAACTAAAAAAGAAAAGGATCTTCAACATGTTCTCTAAATAATTCCAAGATTGATGTCATAAGTTTTCACTGCAAAAGTTCTTAAATGGAGATTAACTAGGTCTCAAAACCATATTTTTTGGCCATAAAATCAGAATTCATATTCAAATTTTAATTGAATTACAATAACCCCCCTCTATTGTATCCAAGAAAGCTGAGCCCCATGCCAAAAGACCCACAAGGGGAAAAAAAATACATTACTGTCAAAAATTAACATCAATTTCATTTTCTTTCATTGATTAAATCCCAACAGAAAAGGCCTCCACACCCTTGTTGTGTGCAAATTTCATTTTGATAAACCTTAGAGCTGACAAACCCTCTAAGATGAGCCCCCCTCTGAGATCTATGCCACCCCACTAATTTGGACCATTGAAGCCAGAATTATATGTTTTTAGCTATCACTGAATCCATTATCAAGCTCTTTTATAAACAAAGCAAAGATGATTTTTTTTTCCATCAAACAACAGCCATGCTATGAGTTTGATAATATCTTACCAAATAGCACTTCAACTCTACTTTACAGTACCTGTATGCATTGAATTTTCCCCCCTGCGTTTATTTATTTTATTCATTTATTGGCCACTTGTGTAGCTGAAGGAGCTATTAACACACGTTTTAAACAGCATCCCCTGTTAAAGTTGTAATGCTTAACTTGCAAGCGAAACGTCCATATAGTCAAGCAAATACTGGCCTACCATTGCATTTATGATGTATAGTCTCTATCTCAATCAGCCTATTTGTGTCTAATTCGACCACCTCCTGTAAACAATACTAAAACACCTAGCGCCTAATGCTCAACTTTGTTGAAAAAGTAGTTGCTTACAGTCTAAAAATACTTTTCTTTTAAGCTTTTTGTTGATCATAAAAGCCAGAAAACACGCAACTGAAATGTGATCAAATTAAATACTAGGTCTATGATAAAATTTAGTTAAGTTCAGCCTTTGATTAAGGGTATTGTTCTATCATTACCTGAAATCATAAACAGTCTAACTTAGAAGTTAGAAGTCTATGCAGTTGGAATGGTTAAAGAACCGTTATTTATCTTGTGTATGATGCAGTGTTATGTTGAGAAAAAACACACATCAAAGAGTAGCAGTGTCTTTCATGCCACATTGTTATCATATCCCTCTTCTCTTCCCACCTACAGCAGGTATCCCTGCAGAGACACGTGTATCCAGATGCCTAATACATGAGGTCACTGTCGACACAGCTGCTCTGAATTATCTGCCACCAACCAACCAAATCCCTCACGCCTGTTACTGTCCTCCAATCACCTGGCGGGATGGCAAACATACCTACAGACCTGTTACTGCATGTGCAGAGACTCCCACAACGGTGAGCTCTGAGCTGTACATTGGTGAAACGAGGATTTCACGTGTTCTGGCTCTTACATGTAATGCAGTCCTGACCTCTGCTGTGTGAGGCTGTTAATCCTGCTGTTGTGCAGAAGCCACACTGAAACATGGCTCTGAGTAATGTGTATGATTGAGGAGGACGGCTAACTCGGAGGATTTTTTTTGTCGTCATTTCTTCTTTTTTTTTGATGATTTCAGTTGTTTTTTTTTTGTTCTTCAAGCTGCACCTGGAAACCTCAAACTGTCTGTTTGTACTCATCAAACAGCTAAAGTACAAAGGTCGTGCACATTTTGAAAAAAAAACAAACCCAAAAAACAGAAACATTCTTAGAACAAGCCCCCTACTTCAAACTTTTATCTTTGGGCATTTTTTTGTAAACACATTTCACTTGAAAGACATCAGCTGATAGGAAAAGTCACAGAACTAGGTGTTATTATTCCGAAACTCTTAATTAAAACCCTTTTACTTCAAAGCGTACCGTATTGTTTTCGTAATTACAACTCCGCCATGTGTATATTATCAAAAAACATCAAAGCTTAAATGACAAGCCAGACACTTTCATCCAGTGCCAACAGAGACTCACAAGGTCACTTCAAAAGTTTACTTGGCTTTTATTACAGCCACACAAACCTCAGCTGTCAGACCAATGACTTCTAAACAACATTATGGATTACCCCTCACATTTATAAAATGAGATTCAGTCTCTGTTTTACTGTCCCATCTATGACGACATAAGGGATGTACTTTAAAGAAAAATGTCTTCCATTAAAGTTGAATTCTTCTGGTTAGATGATTATAAAAAACTGGAGTTGTGCTTTAGAAGAGGAACCTACTTTTGTAGCAGATTTGATTTGCAAAGCCTGGGAGAAAAACAGAATAGACTATTTCAGACTGAGCTGTTGAAGGAACATGCAACTTAGTAATGTTATGAAATGTTGAACCACCGCAACTGAAGTTTCTGGTGTCTTATAAACCCATGAGGTTTGGGCACTTTGTGTTCATGACACATAAATAAAATACAATCAATCAATGATATAACATGCTTTTGTGAAAGATTTTTTCAGTTCTACTGAAACTAAAAGAAAAGCAACAATAACTGATATTGATGTCATTGCATTTACCTGATTTTGCATCCTTATCCAGCTGCCTGCTGCTCTCTGCCTTTCCCTTGGGCACTTTCTTTCCCGAGTTTTGGCTCGGGCGCTCATGCCTGTCAGGAATCGAGGCCACAGGCTTCTCCAGAATTTGCACCTGGTTGTACTGATCTCTTGTCAGCATCTCCTGCATATAATAATCCTCATCCTCTATGGCAGAGTCGTGGCTGAGGTCTGCAAGCCCCAAGAGGAGTCCCAGCAGAGCCAGGGGGGTTAGGAGTCTGAGGAGCTGGCTTGTCATGACCCCAGGGGATTATCTCCAGCTTAGAGTCCCGATGGCGTCTCCAGAGGAGCCTGCTGCTGCTGCTGGGCTGCGTCCCATCAACTGCTTCCCCTTCCTCTGCCTTCTCACTCCAACATGGAGAGTTCAAAAAGTTCTTAGAGCGCTCCAAGTCCCTGACGAAAGCAGTGGAGCCAGAGGGTCCATGGACGCCTCAGCCTGGGAAAAATGCAGTGAGGGAGGGAGAAACACAGAGAGAAGGAGATGAGGTAGAGGAGAGGGAAGAGGCAGGGAGACAGACGGCACAGTTTTCTCATTTAGATGCTGGCAGGTTACAAAAAAAAAGTTATTTTTTTCCTCTTAGATTTAAACCAGCCCTGGCTGCTGACACAAAGCAGAGTCAGTTTATTGGTGTTGGTCGAAGTGAAATAGGAATATAAACCTCACTGGGAAACAATACACTGACACATTCATCTGCTTTCAGCTACATCTCCTCCCACTTTGTCTGGAGCAGGCGCAGTTTGGACCAGAGAAAAGTTTTAACTTGCATGTTGGGGAATCAATTCTTCGACTTAAAGCTCCTGTTAGGAACTTTCTGTTTGTGTTGATTTTGTCGACCCCTGTGGGCAAAGTGGTACCTATTATCTCTTTGCTGGTGTTGTCCTGTACTAGTACGTTGTGGGTTTTTTTTTTAAAGAAAAAATATAATCCGGTTTTGTTTTTTGTTACTTTAAGATTTATTTTGGGGCTTTTATGCCTTTAATGGAGAGACAGGACAGTGGATAGAATCACAAAATTGGGAAGACAGAGTGCAGAATGACATTCAGGAAAGAAGCCACAGGTTGGATTTGATCCTGGGCCGTCCGCTTGGCCATCAACCCCAATCCTGATTTGTTTAAACTGTGATATGCAGCACTCATCGAGAATCTTTGTCATGGAAAATGCAAATAAAAGCTGTTTTAGCCTCATGTAATTACTTCTTCTGACACCTACCCCACAATAGCGGTTTCAGGCACCAAAAGTCATTTTAAGGAAATGATCAATCTTGATGCTGTTTGTCTACTTTGAGTTCATAGGCCGTAAAAAGACATCAGTGTTAATTTCAGGCCGTTTCATCACCACTTAAAAACTCCACACAGGAGCTTTAAACACATATTAACCAGTTTGCAATACGTCAAAAGGGAGAAGAGTTTACTGATCCAAGTAGAAATGTATACTGGCACACAATGTGTAATCGCATACAGACAGAAGCAGTCATGTATCATTTTCAGTTTAATCAGTTTAATTCAACTTGGTGTAGAGCTGTTACAGTTGGTAAAGGAGCACTAACAGTGTTTGAATACAAGATAACTAAACATGATATGCCTTTGCGAAGCTCAGCTCTGCTCTAAGCTTCCCTATTAACTTAGGCTCTTTAGGCAAGGCGTGTTTGGACTCTGCAGTAATTTAAGCATTAATTTAATGGCACAAACTCCCAGGAAGGTCCATGCATGTTCCTCCGTGTGTCACAGTTCATCACATCACCGCTCTGTTTCTCATAAGTCCCTTTTATTTTCTCACTCTCTCTTTTTCTCACATGCACATAATTACAGCCACATCAGCTGATGGAGCCTTGCTTTCATAAGAAGAAAATATTGAATCCAAAAGGCAGCCGTCAAACTGACACACTCATGATTAAAACCACATTTTGTCAGCTACAAAGATTATTTAAAACCAAAAAAAAAAGATAAAAGGTTTCATTACAATGTGTTATCGCTGGCATTTAAGAAGCATTTGGAGTTATTGCTAAGCATAGAAATGTCTCGCCTTGGGCTTAAAAGATTTAGTCATAATAATAAGAAGAAGTGGGGATTACATGGAGTATTCGCACAACTAATAAGAACACCTTCTGACATTTCATCGACCTGAGGCAAACTAAGGCAAAAATAATAATCCCTTAACAAGCCTGGTGCTCCGCCTGGACGCTGCCCAATTTAAAAGCACTGGTTCATTACACTTAACTGATGTGAAAAGGCGTAGAGACTAAAATTGTATGGAAATCACACCTGAGAGTGAGCGAGCTCCTGAATGGTGGCCGAGGCTGCAGGCTAATCACAGAAGAACATGATCTGAAGTAGGCGGACAGTTGGAGGCAGGAAGAGTCTATGCACGGCTGGCTGGCACAGTCTTTTGCCAGCTAGGCAGTCATTCTCTGGTCGCCCACTCTTTATCCAGACTACACCCATGTTAAACTGTCTGAAAGGAAGAAGGAGGGAGGAAACGGAAGGAGGGATGAGACACAGAAGGCGGCCAAGAGAGCTTTAGCATTTTACCTCAAAGGCTTTTAGACACAAAACCCTCCTCCTCCTGAACACCTTTAAACAACCGTTACTCTCGGTGTGTCAGGTTTCTCTAACGCCTCTGGAAACAGGGTTGACATTACAGGACTGACTACTTTTGTGCATGGTAAATGATGTCCAAGACAAACCAGAACAAAAAACATCGGTTCACCAACGATTAAAGACAGTCATGAAAAAGATTTTGGCTGTGCTGCACTAAACTGTGGCTTAAGGACACTGACAATGAGGACTGAATGGCTCTTTAATGCAGCTCCTTTTTTTGGAGGTTAAAGGAAGTTTGCTTGAATCAAAAGCCATCCAATCTTAAACCATTCCTGTTCAAACTGCTTTCACTTTCTTTATTCTGCCCAAGGTTTATAATGCTGCAATGGCAGGAAAGCTATACTATATATACATTAACTGTTACCAGAGCATCTCAGAGAGGATTTTAAACACTTATCCAAGATCCTTTTAAGGGATTTTTAAGTTTCAACAAGCCCTTTGAGTTTTTTTTTAATCCAACTTTCAAAATGCCCCTTATAACCATTTAAGTCAGACTTCTTTGGCATTGTCTTAATGTACAGAAAGAGTACAAGAGCCTCTAAGGTTTGGGCAATGGAAACCACTTAGTCAAGTTAACAGGGAAACAGCCCATAGAACCAGTAAGATATGGTAACAAACCAATGAAATAGTGTTCCTCCTTTTGTAACCAGGAAGAAACTAAAGTGAGAGTGAGTGAAGTCAGCTGACTTTCATGCATTGGCTTTAATGCAGGACTGCAGAGCTTACTTCCAACGAAAGACCTGGAATTAACATCAACCACAATCTTTCCTTAACTGTTTAACTTATTTAACACAATCCATAACTGTCAAATAGTAAATTGGGCATTGCAGACAACATTTCCAATTGGCACTGGACCTTAAAAATATGTTGCAATTATTATAATAATACAGGATTTAGCATGATCATCAGGTATAACCATACTCATTGGGCTAAAAAGATTAAAGCACCTTTGGGATTTTGCACGAGGACTCGTAAATTATACCCAAAAACAGTAATGACATTTTTGCACCTATCTTCCTCATGTAAATGGACGCACCTGGGTTAAATAATTAATTATCATGTTTAATTCAGCTTCCTTTGCACTCCTCACCACTGCACTAATTGTTTAATGTACCCTTATACATATTCATTTGTTTATTTTATAAACCAAAAATATGTTACTTTTCCATCTTAAAATAGTAGTTTCAATGTAGATCAAACAGTAGAATACATTTCAACAGAGAGAATGGTGTCTGTTCCACTTCCAAAGATAGCCATGGTCACCTGTTTAAAGCACTATGTAACTTTGGCAGCGGGCCATGGTTTTCTAATATGGCTTTACGGCACTTGTTCATACACCAGCCCGGTAAAACAGTTTGCTTCAAGTCCAACGCCTAGCTGGCTAAGTCAATATGCGTGTGTTTTAGGATAGTGCAATTGCACTCGGTGACCTTTGGTTGGTGACAAAGCGTACCAAACCGAATTCCTCCATAATGTTGCTTTAATATTTTATGCTTACATAGAATGCACAGTTTACCAGAGTTAAATTCCTTGTAAGTGTAAACATACCTGGCCAAAAGAGTTGATCCTGATTGAGCGATTCTTAATAAAGCAACCTAACTTTAGAACATACAACATTTAGCTTCCATTTGCTGCTAGTTTTCAACTACACAAAGTGCTTTCATAGGATGTGAATGTTGTCGGTAAGAAGTTTATAAGACCGTCCAAATTAATTTAGGCATGACATGATTTCCCAAATTTGCTCCGTGAGCCAGAATGTCTGCATTAAAATACCTGCCACAGTCTGAAACTGGCTTATCAAACTGTCATTTATCACACTGTGTAGCCAAGCAGCTTAAGGCAGGGATGTTGTGACAAAAGCTGTCTTCCTCAGTGAGGAGCACCCAAGGTGGAGAGAGTGATGGCTTCTGCCTCCTTCTTTAATCTCTTAAAGGGGGTGGGGGTGTCCCTGGCTGAATTCTCATTAATTGGACGTCAGAGCCTTGAGTGACAGGTTAGAGGCTCACTGAAAAATACCTCCCTGCTGCTGCTTTGGCACCTTGTAATTGATGAAAAGGGACTCTGGTGACAGAAACTGAGGGTGGGAATAATAATGTAAAGGTATTGTACTGGCACTATTCAGCAGGACATGGCAAGTTTAAGCTTTCCCAGGAAAAAAATTCATGTAATTATCAACAGAGTGAGACATGCAAAACGATGCAAAACAATCACAGTACTTCAACTTTGATTTTGAAACATTTCTTAATTATTGGAGCAAGAGATTTTTTTCTTTTTGATTGTGCAAAGATGATTAATGTGTATGCGCTCATAATATGCATGTACACAGACTAAAATGTATGCATGCAAACTCATTTTGTGTTCATCCATCAAATAAAATCTTGGGTGTGTCAAAGTGGCTAGTAGCCAATATTTCTAATGAATTCTGATGTTAGGAGTTCATTGAGGACAAAAAGACACAGGTTAGCAGGATCAATCCCATATTTATTCATTTACTTATTTATGTCCTTTGAAAGTAATGTGACACTTTAATTTATCCAAAACGTATCAAGTTACAACCTTGGATCCTCTATTCTAAAGCATACACCATTTATAATGGATGAACTCCTGGCATTATTGAGATTCAGGCAGGCAGGGACGCTGAATTTGCAAACTAAATCTTGTCTCACCTTAAAGTGAAAGACAGGTCCGCACTGGATTTTCCTACAAGGATGACATTGGTGCTGTCAATGTTCAAATTTAATGTTGGTACCGTAAATCTAATCGACAAGAGGAATAAGGAATTAGAGCCAGTTGCACTTTTCTTCCTAGAGTTTGGTTTGGAGGCTTGAATGGCCCGTCACCTCGCATTAATTTCAATGTTATGTTAGTTTTTACACACACAAGAAAAACACATATTTTTCTGCTTAGTTCTGGTTGGATACCCCTCCAAACTGTGTGCTTAATTTTAGCTGTTAGCATTAATGTGATGATAAGAAGAGAAGGTAAAAGGCTGGTGTTTCATCTTAGCAATATTTCTTCGGTGTCCATGGAAACTGAA